TGGCAGCTGTTTTGAAGAAGTGCAGAAACAAAGCCTTTGGAACTTTTATGTAACAGCCAATGTTGGCATTTCCATGAATTGCAAGATGATTATGTGAGGCAAGCACAGCTCCCTCATTCCCAGGCATGTAAGAGAGCCAGCTGACCGATTTAGGATGGCTAATGCAAAAGAGGAATTCTAGCAATCAGACTCACTGAAGCCTTGGCAGAATTATAATGAATATAAATCCTAATTCTATCCCCACTGCCTTTGATGTTAAATCTGGGCTTAAATTATAGCTTCTGTTAATTGCAGCACTGAAATATTTTGCATAATGATGAGACTCTGGTTCCTTTTACCTTATTTATTTCCCTGATGAAGAAAAAACCTGGGGCAACCTAGATCTGCAGCAATATCCAGATGTAATATATACATTAGCTCTTCACACTGCTGATCACTAAACTATCCTGTCACTGGCTCAGAGCAGATGGCACATACAGTACCAGAAGTGACAGACCTGACACGGCATTCCTTGCACCTCTGAGACTCTCATGTGGAATGCAAGAAATGCAAGACTGCACAGTGGCCCATCCTGTATTTCAGAGATGCTGAACAACTGCACATCACTGCCTTGTGCTGCCACAGGGGGATGAAGCACTCCCAAGAATCAGGAAATCCCTTTATGTGCTGCAACTTCACCTATGCTCATAAGAAAATCCATTCTTCTTAAATAGTGGCAAGAAGATGTGTTTTAAATCTTATTAAAATCATCCAACCATTTCATTTGAAGGAATTATAATAAAAATCCAAGAAGTCCCCAATTTAAAAAAAAAGCCCATAGGCTTCAGCAAGAATACCACCTACTCTCTATTAAGGTTTCTGTTAGCATTAGGATCCACATTTTAGATCCACGTTTTAACCAAATTTGAAGGTTTATTTTAATTAACTTAAGTCAGTGGCAGCTTTCAGTTTTTTATGGAATATCATGGGGTGCTCTCTCTTGACAATGCAATCATGCTAGAGAAAACCTTCAGTTGCAGGATGTCTATGTGAATGCCAACTGAGGTACCAAAGAGACACATGGTTGGTATCACGAGGTTACCATACTTAAGGTACAGAACCCGCAAGTTATTCCTGATGGAAAGGTTCTCTGGAGGTCTCTGGTCCAATCACTCCCTCAGAAGGGAGGGATGGAAGGACTAAGATGAGTTTGAGTATCATCAGGGATAGAGGTTCTATAACCTCCCTGGGCAATCTGATAAGTAAGGATTCAATCCTGTACATCAAGCTGCTACGAATGAATTAAACAAATAAAACACTGCTGAGTACATAGTTTAAAACTAAAATTCTGTTAGAAATTGTTTATGCTACATCAAATCAGAAAGAATCTATACCTCTGGTATTTTCACAATGATCACCTGCTCTCAGGTTCAGAGTAAAACCATCCTACTCGCTATAATACTCAGTATAAAACTGCTTCATAGTTCCCAGCATAAAGGAGATTTGGTTTGTGTGTTTTACCTTAAGACAATTAAAGAACAACCCAAACTGAGAGTAGTAGATCTGAGCTCCACTAGGCCTGAAGACTGTGAGTTCTCAGACACCTCAGTCCCTTGATCACCCTGTGGGAGCAGTTTAATCTCTAATCCTCCCTACACTTCTTATGAAGTAAAGATGTACTATGATTCCTTTAAGCAGGAATGAAACACAAAGAAATCTATAGTCCTACACGAGCTCCTAGAAAAAGGATATGGAGGGCCAGGGTCAAAATCCCAAACCCACCCTAGTGCTCTAGCCCCTGAATTCACCATCTCTCTTAAACCAAAAATTTGGGTTGCCCTGAAAGAGGAGCAGAACCATGCATGAGATAAAACCTCCTAGTATTTAGTGGAAGCTGGATGCCCCCTAACTCCATGTTCCTTTGGAAATCCCAATCCAAAAGCCATTTGTAAACTTGAGATTCAATTTCAGCTCTCCAACTGCTTGAAATCTCAGTCATCTTCTAACAAGTGGAGAGCACAGAAAGGGCAAGGGGATGTCAGAACATTCACTGCACACATAGACTGGTACAGTTTCTTCTTTGAGTTAGCAGCCAGCCCATGTGGAAAATCTTTGATGCAGATTCATCAGAGGTGCCTGGCACTCTTCATACAAACAGTGTGGGCAGAGGGGGCCAAGGCCGGATTAATTTCCTGGAATGGGTTACTGAAATAGACACATCTTGATTAAATCCCTGAACAGACACGTACCTAACATTTTCATGCTCAATTTTTCACATATTTTTAAACATTTTAATAAGAGGATACTGTGGAGCATGAACCAAAGTGTTCATATTTTATGAAACCTAATTTCCACATTAGTTTTGATCATAAGCACAGAAAGACACCATTATATTGTTCTGGACTTTCAGGTACACTTTCTGCACCAAAGATCTATAGAGCACATCAGCAGCTGAGATATGGCTGCTCCAGAACTTTTGATTCATTTGTCAGCATGTCCTACACTCGTGAAAACAAGAAAATCAGTCTTGCATATCAAGCTTCAGAAGAGAAAAACAGATCACCACTCCAGTTACCATAGAAAAAGGTACCCTTGGACAATGCCTTTCCCTGCAGTTACAAATTATTGACCCTGAATTCAAAGGGGAACTTCTGTCCAAGTAGAATATGCAAATATTGGACTCGAAGAGAATCACATCAGTTCCATCACAATGATATATTGATCAGCTATATTTTCTAGACACTGACTTCCTGCTTTAACTCTCAGGCTTCCAGAACAAATGGATTTTATATTTGCAATGGTCTCCATAATGGACTGTAAAATTTAGTCAACATAAAAATAAATACAGTAAACCCTGTTTTTGTTAGACAGATGAAGTAACCTGTTCTAAATCATAATGAAAGGAAAGTCCTCAGGAAATATCTCAGATTTATCAGTCTAGTCTGTTTATATTCCTGTTCTTTCAAGTGATTTGCTAGGCAAGACTTTTTTTCCTTTAAATACTTGTTCCTTCCTCTCTCCCCCTCTGATGAACCCCCTCCTGTTATCCTGTTCTCATCCTGGTCCTCGGTTTTCCCTCACCAGCAGTTCTGCAGAGCTGTCACGGCTGGACTTGCCTGTCTTTGGTGCCACCTTCGGGCAAGTGGAGGTTTGCCACAGAAATACTCCAAAACTCTTCACTATAAATGCTTTGTAATCACAGTGTGGGCTCCTCAAAACGTTTGCTTGAATGTTCAGTAATTCCCATACAATTATCAGATTTTCTCTGACCCCAGGCCATGCTCTTGATTATTTCCTAGGTACCCAACCCAAAGGCACACCTAGATGCCCAATGGAAAAACTGAATTGTAAATTTAATTATATTTCCACCTGTTCAGGATAAAATGCCTTTAAAAGCAACTTGTTCAGCTGATCTTACATCATCCAGAAAAGTTAGTTTTCACAATTTTCAATTTACCACACAGCATGGGTTTAGTATTAACATAGTCAGTGTTTCTCTTAAAAATTCCTCTCTGGAAGAAATCAAGGGGAACTGAGATAGATGAGGTTTTGTCTTTATTTTCATGTACCTAATTTTTGAAAGACAGCAGCTTTATGTCATAGTGATTAGAGGGCAGGCTTTGTTTTAAATTTTCTCATCACTCAAATGTTATTTAAACCTAAGCAATACTCCAGCCATGTTTATGTATGTGTCAGTGTGAAATGTTCTCCCAGTGGCTTTTTATGCCACCGGCCAATTTCAACTATTCTCAAGGCCATTAAGTTCCAATAAATTCCATGAGATTACTGGCTGGGGGTTCCTATCAATATACAGTAAGGGAAAAGCTGCAGTTTGAGCTTAGCTGCCGTTTGAGACCTTACAGAAGTTTGTCTTTTCAGTGCAACAAGGAAGAAGCAAATATCACTTATTTCACTGCTCTGTTTCCCTCCTGGCCATAACTGATCCACTCTCCTCTGCCCTGCTGAGCAACTGACAACCTTCATTTTGTAAACGGACACATTTACTAGGATGATTTTAAAATGTGCACCATGCAATTAATTACTGTTGAGCAAATGTTGTCAAGACTAGACTTTTATAGCTAACCAAAGCTTATATAACAACCGATTAAAAGTAATTTGGGCTGAAGAAGTTTTGTCTTTGAGCTTGTACTTGTATATCAGATACATCTGTTACAAATGTATCAGTATTAGTATGTTTTGCAAACTACTAGGGCAACTGCAGGAGTAGTGTTTCATGGGTAATTCATATCAGGACTGGGCCCTTAAAAGTCAAAGTCTACTTTGAAGATGTCCATTTCCAGTTATCATTAAACAATTAAAAATATATGTATTTTTTCATTTGTACATTAAAAAATTCATTTCACTAAAATATGTGCAAGCTGAGAGGATTTACTTCATATGGCACCAAACTTTACATATTGTCTAAAACACCATGCACATTCCTTTGGGATATAAATATCAATCTGATTAGCTAGCAGGTCTTGTCAGCCACAGTAACTTATCCCCTGGGGTATCTGAGCCATCACGTGCCTCTAGGACTTCTGTAAAAGGTCAAGAAGACTTAACTGAGGTCTATATAAGACCTTCTGTATGTCATTTGAAAAATAATTAAGTCAAGAGGACTCTGCTGATCTTTACCTGACAATATTTTCTGTTCTTGGCTTGGGGAAAACTAAGTGGCCAGGTGAGTTCAATCTTTCCTCTGGAACTTTAGAAGACATCACAATAATTCATACCAAAAAATGCATGGAAATAACCAAAGATGCCCAATGCTGGGAAGTTCTATGAATACATTTGGCTTTGTCCTCAGCTTGTACACCTGAAGATTTAACTGGAAATACCAGTGGCTCAGATGCACAAAGTGTGTCTGAACTAAAGGACGGAGCAGCTGGCTCCTGCAGGGCAGCTAGCCTGCTCTGCCCTGGGACCTGGGCTCACCTCGGGGCCACCTCCACAGCTCAGAGAGCAAGAGCAGTGGTGACTCTACCCATCAGTATTTTTCATTTTGCAGTATTCTTGACATGGCTCTTTCCAGTATCCTGACAGAAGCTGAAATTGCTGCTGGTCTACAGAGCTGTCAAGGTAATATTTATGTTTTAAATTTGGCTTTGCAGTTTATCTATCAAATTTCTTTGTCCTTGCTACCCCGAAGTCCCAATTCCAATGGAAACAGAAAAATCTCTCTTACTAAAAACAGAAAAAGGACTCTAAGTAATGGAACAGTTGCAAGCTTTAATCTTGGCCAGCCAAGCTACAGGTACCCACCATCATTTGTGCACTGCAGCAATTTTAAGGATGAAAAAATCCAAAGGCTGAATCCTGGATCAGAAATCCTGTTTTTTCAGAGAATAATAATAAAACTACTGCTGATTTCAATACAAGCCCAATATTTTTCATCAAGTTCTACAAATATGTCTTTCAGTGAGGTATCTATTTACAAGGGTATGTTCTTGCATGTTGAAGATCACAGTCATTATTTCATTACCTTCCCAGTTATGAGACATCATTGATGGAAAAATCCCATTTACCTGATATAAATTCTGGAAAATCAAAAACTGTTACTTCGATTTGTAATTACCCTCACTGTACTGCAGAATAGTTTGCTGCTTTTTGATCAAAAAGCTAATTTTTTTTTTGTTCCAGATTTTTGACTACTTTTCTTCATCTCTCCTTGTTTCCATCTGCCTATTTCAGCTGCTGATTCATTTGATTACAAAACCTTTTTTGTGAAAGTGGGTCTCAACTCCAAGTCTAAAGACCAAGTTGCCAAAGTCTTCGGAATTCTAGACCAGGACAGGAGTGGCTTTATTGAGGAAGAGGAACTGAAGTAAGTAAATAAGTTACCAACAGGATAATCATCTAAAAATCTGGTTTATCATCTAAAAATGCATGATAAGATCAGAAATATTCCCTTTCCTCTTGTCCCTTTGGATGGGAGACAATCATGTGTTTGTGCACCCATGTGTGAGTGCTGGTGCTGGAGGAGCTGCAAGTCAAATAACAAAGGCAAGGCTGGATCACAATGGGGAAACTCTCTGACAGCACTGAAAATACTTGTTTCATGTAGCAATAACTGACAGACTGTGAAGATTAAAATAGCAGTTCTGCTATAGCTGCTTTTTATTATTGTAAGATTTTTTTTTACCAGACTAAATTCAAAGGGCCATTTTCTCTCATCTTTTTTCTGTCACATGAATTCTAACTTCCAGATCACATTCATCAGACTTTGAAGTTAAAAGTAAGGTTAGAGAAATTCTTGCTAAGATTCTGCATCTTAGGAGAAAGAAGGAAGATAACAAGGAAGGGAAGATGAATCCTGCCACTACAGAGTCAGTGTTAATTTTGTCTTTTTGATTCAATGAAACCATGATGTCATCAAGGATTTTTTTAGGCTGTGAAGTAGCATCCTCTTACTTCCTTACCCTCACTCTCAACGAAGTTAGAGGAAGTTTTACCATTGAAATAGTTCTCAAGAACTGAATCATGCTTGAAATTTTGCAGCTATTACCAATCCAAATCCTGAACACTTTCAGTACTATGTCTCTCTCATTTGCTCTCTCACCTATACCAGACTTTTCCTGAAGAATTTCTCAGCCAGTGCCAGAGTTTTGACTGATGCTGAGACCAAGGCATTCCTGGCAGCAGGAGACAGTGATGGAGATGGCAAAATTGGAGTGGATGGTAAGACTGCCCTTATTAAAATGATAATGCCTGCCTTTGAGACTTCCTAAAGGCAGCTCTAGGCATGTGCCCTGCTCCATGTACTGGACCTGATGCTGAGGTGCACAGATCTGCTGTGCTATAGAGAGAATCTGACATAGAAAGAGGTCTCTACACTGCTCCTGGCTAAAGTGGTCAGTCCCTTTTCTCATCTATGGAGATTTTTTTCAGGAATGGAACCTAAATTCAGTCTATAATTTCACTGCTTTTTGCTAGTGAACTGTGATACAATGTGACACTTAAATGCAACACTTCCTTTACCTCAAGTATCTATTGTTAGGAATACACAATGTGCTGCCTTTAAGGAATGTTTATCAGAGGAAGTAACATTAATTTCCCATTTTAAGTCTAAAAATTGGGAGAGAAAATTTTGGGTGGTGTGATTACAAACAGAGGTCCCATTTTATTACTCTTTTTTCTTCTTTTTCAGAGTTTCAAGCACTGGTCAAATCATAACCAGCAGTCAAGACCAAGACATATATTTGCCATAAACAATCTTTCCTATTGCAAACCTACCATTTATTTACACATTTTGTACCCTCAAAGATAATGAACAATTGTTGGCAAGTGGTTTCATATTGCTGGAAAACATCTGAAGTGGTACAAGCACTGCTTAAGCCATGCTGTCAGATGTTTTAAGCAGAACGTCTATACCACTGATGGACTGAACTGGAATCCACTCCTGACATCTGAATTTAGGGCATTAAAGATATAAACATAAATATTAAGAGGAGAAATTGAAAGCATCTCTGTGGGCCATTGAATTTTCTATATTTGCATAAATAGCTAGCATATGTTGTAAAAAAACAGAATTAATAAAATGTCCATGTGTAAAACCTGTTTATGGTAACTGGTAGCAGTGGTATTTAGTCAAGAGGTATTTTAATATTCCAAATGTTTTTCTGTCATTCTCTATGCAAGTGATTGTGTTTTAGAGACTAAGTATATTGCAGAACCTTGCACTAATTAAGTAATCAATTTAAGATCAACTGGATCCAGGATTAATTTAGATGTCGGAAATAGCAATACATTCAAAATTCCCCAAGGAATCCCTCACCTTCATGCCCACCCGATGGCACTATTGTTCCACTGCTGAGAAGCTAAAACAGTGTTCTGTGTACTCGAATGAATTCCAGAACACTCCTCGTGTCCCACCTGCCACTTCTGCAAAAAGCACTTCAAAAACACCAGTCCCCAGGGCTCCATAAGAGCAAATGGGGGAATGTTGCCTAAATAATCAACATTCTGCTGCTTTTCTTCTCAGCATGGAGAATAACACAATGCCCACATCTCACAGGGTTGTAAAATGCATCAATGTCTGTGGGGAAAGTATAATAAAATGAAGAGTGCCATAAAAAATTGCTAATAAATTAATCTTTTTTTCTTTACAGACAGATTGAAATAGCAAGGCAGACATAAGAAATGGGGAGAATGCAAAATTCTGAGTAGGTTCTCACTAACTGAAGTCCATTTTGTGCACTAGGTTAGGGTTCTGGTTGAAAAGCATGGGTGTGATGATGTCACCACAATTTTGTCATGGTATAAACACACAGAGCAATCAAACTGGGCTACAAAAATGAACTCATTGCTAATAGTACCTAATGAAACACCACAGTGTATCAGAGTTTTGTCTTAGATGTGACCAAAATAAACACACAGCCAAACAGCCTTTTAAAAAAATCTAGATGGCTTTGACCACCCCAAACATTACACTTCCAACACTACAGTTGCTCCTACATACTCTTTGAAAAAAATTTGGAGCTGTTGAAAAGTCATTATTGGACAATAATCTTGCAAAAACTGGTATGAGTGTCTCATACTATATTTGTTGGAGGTATTTAAGAAGATGTTTCAATATTTGCAGACCAAAAATCTTCATTTCAAAATTGCCTGTTGATGTTATTGTGGTTCTGATGCACAACATATTTATGATGAGACATTATGAAAAAGGAAGGAAATATCAATACAATGTTGGGGAAATCATCATATTACACAAAGTTGAAGCAATCTACAAGACTTTAATGAATACTCAATAATGTGTTCATGCTCTATACATTAGCCAAAAATATATTTCCATTAACTCTAATGAATGAATCAGGTCCTAATATTGTAGAATTTTCTATAAGAGTGAAAAAAGAATCATCCATCAAGCAAATTGACATTCATTATTTCAATGTCATCTCAGAAGAGCAATTAAAAAAGGGAAATTTGCAGAATTAATAACTGCAGCCTGACTGCAGGGCTAAAAGCTCTCATTATGGTCAGAAAATGCTTTGTTTCTCAGCTGATATTATGTTTTATGTTTGCATTGTGCAATATGGGTCACCCAGACATTTTCAAGCATTGTACCAACATTAATGGCTAAATAAGAGAGAAAGGCACAGACAGCTCAGATAACTTCTGAGATAGCAGGCAGCTCCTTTATTTAACCACACTTACTTCCACCCTGATTAGCCTGCTAGGCCTACAAATCTAAGACAATTTCACCACTTACCATTCCATTAAGAACAGTAAAAAATTCATGACAAGTTAAGTCTGGTATCAGCTTCAGTGATCACTCCAGAAAGTTAAGAGGAGCTTGTGACTAGAGAGGTTTTTAGACCTTTCCTTCTTCCAGCATTACCACTAAGCAGATCAGAGGAGAAAAATGCTGCTTTCTTTGCACAAGAATACACTCACTCAGTTTCTTTTCCTCTCTTCTTCACATGGGCTGTCAGGTACTGTGAAATTTCTGTTACTACTTACCATGGGATTTATGAAAGCTCCTCAAATTGTGCCTCAGCTGGAAATACTGCTGCCTGATCACAAACATACAGTCCCAAACAGCTCCCTCAGAGTGAACAACATTCTGCTGGAATCAGACATTTGGAGGTCTGAGACCATAAATATGGGATTGCCTCTTGTCAATGGAATTTTGTTGCATGCTTGGTACATGTGTTTTAACAGTTTGTCTGAACCTCCTTTCTTTAGCCCATTTCTGCTAAACAAATGACTTTGATGATTATTTACAATAAAGTTAACTCTAATTACAGGGTAATTTTACTTCAAGCCTCACTAAGGGTTACACATCCTCCTACTGCTGAAATTAATGGCTGAAATCCCATGGAAATCAATGAGAACAGGCAGTGAATACAGAAGTAGTTGGAAGCACCTCAGTGCTATTTGGTTTATTTTACCATGGCTCCTTACACCATGGGGCACAGTGAAATGCAGCCATGTGCAAGAACCTTTGGTAACAGTAGAGTAGAACTGTACTTATCTTTTACATGGCACAATAGCAGCATCCAGATTATTTCACAGCCTCCAACATTAGGGCACAATTATTACTAAAATAGAAAGAAACCCTGAACAATGTAGATTTTTAAAGACAGCTCCATCTGACACTGTCTATAATGCTGACACCAGACAGAAACATGTTAGACAATTACATTTAGGGTCGGAGACAGAAAATTGCATTACTGAGTCTCAGAAGAACTTCCAAGTGCTTTTAAAGACAAACACAAATCAAATGCTGTCAGAGATCTTCCAGGACAGATTTTTAAGTGAAAAAATATGTTTATCAGACCAGACTCTATGAATTAGTGACACTATTACTCAGCTATGCTAGTCTAGTCTGCTGTCATTTTCAGACAGAAATCAAATTCACCCCCACAGACTGATAAGAACATAATTTGAACTGAGGAAAGTTCACATGTGATTTCCTCTAAGGTGACAGAAGTACCTGTTTTCCTTTAGCTCCAGACCCACAGTGCTGCAGAATCTATCTTGTATCTTGGGTTCTGTAGTCCAGATCTCTGCTCAGTGCTCTGGATAATATCCTCTACCTGCTGCAGGGAAAGAAAGCTTTGTCACTGGGGCCTCGCTTTCCTCCTTCATTGTAGGAAAAAAGTCAAATACTACAGCATGTGTTCAGACTTCTCTGTTAAAAATGGCAAAATACTATGGCCAAGCAACAATTCAAATTAAATACTGTAATTATTTCTTTATTTCTATGTGATTATAGCATTTGCCCTAAAAGACAACATGAAGTGGCAGGATTTAATTCATTTTGTTGTCAAGGTCCTTTTCAATGATTATAGCTGTAACACACCAAGATTCTCTGCTGTCACCACTGAGACATCAACACTACCGTCAACCACAGAGGTTACTGAGTATCTATTTTAGTTACTTCCAAACTCATTACAAAGGCAGAATCTGTTATGCAGGATCATGATACCATTGGCCCTGACACAACCAGGGCTGAAAGATGGAGTTGTGTGGGTTTGAGAATAGCTGCTGCAGCATCTCTTTACACTGTTGTAGCTGGTCTCAGGTTAACACCTCTCCTCTGATCTCACCTGAGACAACTGCTGATGTTTCTTCTGCATCTGCCACGGCTTTGGTTGATTGCCACTGCTAATCAGCTCTGTACTTTATGCAAACCAAAACACAAAGGGTACAAGACTAGCCCACAACCTGTCAATGCTTTACCAAAATACAGCTTTCCTCTGACACTTAAAGAAGTAAACAGCGCTTGATTTGAAGACAAATGTTTCATTTACGTTCCTAAATAACCTAGAACCTTAGCAAGAACTTATCAATATGAATATTCTGTATTTCTCAGAACAGCACCTTCAAGTTTAATTTTTGAAGTCTGAAAAAAAAGGCTTTAATATTATTTAATAAAGACACCTCAGGTGAAAACAACACTAGGTATACAAGTACATAAATATTCAGATTATCAACCCAATAGAACTTTTAGATGTTTCTCATAGAGCAAAAAAAAAACCCCAAAACAACCAAACAAAAATTAATTTTTTTTTCTTGAATTTCATAGGAATGAGTGCTAAACATTCCTGGAAACTGTGTAATACTAAGATTCTGTGTCAGATTTTGAACTATTGTTAACTGCCCATTACTTAGCAGCTGTTGTTTTGGTTGAATTATTAGGGATTTACATTATAATGTTACATTGTTTTCATTGCATCTTTTTTAAAAAAACCCTCTTTCATAGATCTCTAGTTTTTTAATGCATTAAGTAATTACAGCCACATAAGTTAACACCAAAGAAGGAAAACAGGCAGATAATTCAGATGTAAAATAGATTATTTCATTAAAATATCCCTTAATATACTAACCCCTGATTATTGCATTCTAATTGTAGTGGAGGGAAACCTGTACTTCAGATGAAGTGTCATTAATAAATAAATAAAACCCAGTAACCCTAGATTCCCACCTGTATCAATGTACAGTGACATCAACTTGATTCTGAAATTCAGCTCTTTTAGGCTTTTGTAGACCATCTTTCAGCCAGGATTAACATCACTTTTGTTGCCAGCATTGAATTTCAAACATTAAAAGACCTCTTCAAAAGCAATAATAGTAATTATCTCACTTTTATTTGAGATCATATTCTAATATAATACTAATTCTGGCTATACTACAACTGCTGAATACACATAAAACCAGCTCAGCAC